CGACTTCGATTTCTCAAGACAGCCTGGGAAATGCTGGATTCAAATATTGTGAAAAACTCTTTGAAATAATCAACAATTAATTAACGTGCATTTCGTTCATTGTATCTAAGTTTATTTAATATAGTTTTACGTCTTTCTCAAGTTGTTTCTTGTGAGCATGATTAATGGTTTCATTTCTGATGAGTGACGGATGCCCGAACCTTGCGAGTTTGTATGGAACAGTGTTTTTTGTCCGATTATTATTGTTTTGCTGCAGATTTATTGCTGACTTTGTTTCAGTTATGAAAAACAACGCCTACGTTACCTTGAAACAACAGTAGTGGATTTCTTTCGAGTGATATGTGAAGACGTGTTTCTTGGACCATTGTCTAATTTCGGGTAATAAGATTTTTTGATTCTGACGGTAATGAGTAGCGTTAACAAGTAAATGGTAAAATTTGGGCTTGATCAATGGGTTTATAGTGTGAAAAGCCAAGTTCCATTGATTTATTTAAATAAATCTGAGTAATTCATTTTCTGTATTTTCAACTTTGTAGCCGAGAACCTTTTTCTTGAACGAGAAGTTTTTTGAGATCTTAAATATATATTCTTAATCTTGTCTGGAAACTTTATCTTCTTGTTTTGATTATTAAATGCCTTCTCTGCGTACTTCACTAGATATTGTTTGTGCTTCCTTATTTGTTTAATTTCCTTTCTCCCCACAGAGATTGGCATGCCCATGTAGAAACATTAGTCTTTGATTTTCTTATTCAATATTGTCAGCGTTTTTTACCCGTGCTGTAAAATGTGATCTCGTGGTCTGTGCAATCTGACGCTCTCCTTCGAAGCACCGACTGCGCTTCTTTTTCATGCTCCAGGTCTTTTTTACCTAATGGGGCAGCTGCCGACTCTCTCCTGTTTTCATTGTCTCTGATTATTTTGATGCACAGAAATTACACGCTGCAAATTCCTTCCGTTTTAGAACCATATGGTCGCTCCTTCTCTCTTCTGCGCAGCAGTGGTTTCCTCGGTTTGCCGTTTTTTGTGTCTTATTGTCATCAGTCGTGAACACCGCTGTATCAGTTGTTAATCTTAATATTTCATTTAAAATATTCTTTTATTTTTTAGAGAACCTTGCAACTGCGACTTGCTGGACAATTTTTGCAGTTTAATGTCAATGATTGCCGTCAAAGAAAAGTATGCTGTTACAAGTTGAACGTTTCAAATCCCGAAATGTCGACAAAGGGTGACTTTGGATTAATGGCACATCATTAATTTAGACCTCTCTAATCTGTTTAAATGCCATATTTTGATCTGTTCTTTTCCACGTTTTGGAAGAGTGTGAATGTCAAACTGTGCAGTTTAAATCTATGCTTTTCCTCATTCATAGATCGGATGTAATTTCACCTGTGTAAAATTTCTCGTGCAATTTCCTAATGTAGGAATTAAATGTATTCAGGAGAAGTGACCGGCAGCTGCATTCTTTTCGTCATTCCTTGGCCTTCACATTGTTTATAATCAGTGGTACGGTCCAAGTAGGCAATTTCATCCATACGTTTAGCTGTTCCGTCTGCACCGGTTGGTAACCTCTGTAAGAACACAGTGAGTAGGAGTATTTGCTCGCTACCTTTGAGCATGACCAAATAACGCAGATCTACACTTACTACTGATTATGTCTGAGACGTTAAAAATATATACCGCCTTATTTTAAAAAGCGATAATACTTTTTTATACATGCTAAAATATAAAGATTTAATTTTTTTGGAACGTTATTGATTTTAATTTTCGTTTAATGATTTTCAATTCATTAAAACGAGACTAGGCAATTCTGCCTTTCAAGACCTACTCCCAACTTTGTCGCGTTTGGGA